TTCTCTTGGTCTTCTCTTGTGGCTCATCTGGTAAAGAATCTGCCTGCAATGTGGGAGACCTGGGTTTGATCCCTGGGTTGGGAAGATCCCCTGGAGAAGGGAACAGCTACCCACTCCAGTATTCTGGCCTGGAGAATTCCATGGACTATACAGTCCATGGGGTTGCAGATAGTCAGACATGACTGAGTGACTTTCACTTTCACTTTTCTAGGTTCTCTGGCTGGTCTAATAATCATATTGACGTAAGACAGATTAACAAGAGAACAATAAGTTTAATTACCTACCTACCTACCAGGACTCCACAAGGGCAGTGATAACCCAAGAACAAGTCAGGCAGTTGAGACTTTAATGCTGTTTTGAACTAAAGAATGGGATAGGGTTCTGGGCCTTGAAAGGGGAAGAGGGTGCTTGGCAGGACGATAAGAAGAGCAGACATATAGTAATTACATGTTTGTCCTGCCATAACGTAGGTCATTAAAATAAAAAATTATCTCTGGGCAATAATGCTCTTTCTGGGCCACACCTCGTATCTAAATTCTTCCAGATAGTGAAGGGAGAGGTAAAAGTTTGTTTTGGGTCTGCTGAATATGGTTTGTGTTGCCAAAAACTGGTCTTTGTTCACCAATGCCAATGGAAATATGGCAACGGAGTTTTGGAGGAGCAGAAAGGTGTAGTTCTATTACTTTGCCAGGTAAAGAGTGCCACTGCAAACAAAGCTAGTGGAGGTGATGGAATTCCACTTGAGCTATTTCACATCTTAAAAGGTGATGCTGTGAAAGTGCTGCACTCAATATGCCAGCAAATTGGGAAAACTCAGCAGTGGCCACAAGACTGGAAAAGGTCAGCTTTCATTCCAATCCCCAAGAAAGGCAACGCCAAAGAATGCTCACTGTGACACAGTCTGTACTCATCTCACATGCTAGTGATGCTCAGAGTTCTCTGGGCCAGGCTTCAGCCGTACCTGAACTATGAACTTCCAGATGTTGAAGCTGGATTTAGAAAAGGCAGAGGAACCAGACATCAATCTACCAACATCTGTTGGATCATTGAAAAAGCAAGAAAGTTACAGAAAATCATTTACTTCTGCTTTATTGACTACACCAAAGCCTTTGACTCTGTGGATCACAACAAACTGGAAAATTCTTCAAGAGATGGAACACCAGACCTCCTGAGAAATCTGTATGCAGGTCAAGAAGCCACAGTTAGAACTGGACATGCAACAACAGAGTGGTTCCAAATAGGAAAAGGAGTATGTCAAGGCTGTATATTGTCATCCTGCTTATTTAACTTATATGCAGAGTGCGTCATGAGAAATGCTGTGCTGGATGAAGCACAAGCTGGAATCAAGATTGCTGGGAGAAATATCAATAACCTCAGATATGCAGATGACAGCACTGTTATGGCAGAAAGTGAAGAAGAACTAAAGAGCCTCTTGATGAAAGTGAAAGAGGAGAGTGAAAATGTTGGCTTAAAACTCAACATTCAGATAACTAAGGTCATGGCATCTGGTCACATCGCTTCATGGCAAATAGATGGGGAAACAGTGGATACAATGACAGACTTTATTTTGGGCAGCTCCAAAATTACTGCATATGGTGACTGCAGCCATGAAATTAAAAGACGCTTACTCCTTGGAAGAAAAGTTTTGTCCAACCTAGACAGCATATTGGAAAACAGAGACATTGCCAAGTGCTGTCTAGTAAAAGCTATGGTTTTCCAATAGTCAAGTATGGATGTAAGAGTTGGACTATAAAGAAAGCTGAGTGCCGAAGAACTGATGCTTTTGAACTGTGGTGTTGGAGAAGACTCTCAAGAGTCCCTTGGGCTGCAAAGAGATCCAACCCGTCCATCCTAAAGGAAATCAGGCCTGAATATTCATTGGAAGGACTGATGCTAAAGCTGAAACTCCAATCCTTTGGCCACCTGATGTGAAGAACTGACTCATTTGAAAAGACCCTGATGCTGGGAAAGATTGAAGATGGGAGGAGAAGGGGACGACAGAGGATGAGATAGTTGGATGGCATCACAGGCTCAATGGACAGGAGTTTGAGTAAACTCTGGGATTTGGTGAAGGGCAAGGAAGCCTGGTGTGGTGCAGTCCATGGGGTCACAAAGGGTCAGACAGGACTGAGCGACTGAACTGAACTGAAAGAGTGCCACAGCCAGCTAATGCTCTCAAGACTCTGACCCCCTTCCAGAAGAAGTCTAATCCTTTTAAGATGGAAAATAGGACAGAAGATAAGGATGTGGTTGATCTTCTCTCACTGGGGGCCTTGAGATCATCAGGGCTGGTGTCAGGTGATTCCAGAACAGGTTCCAGTGGTCTTTGAGGTCATCCTCAGGTGACATTGGAGAAGGCAATGGCAACCCACTCCAGTCCTCTTGCCTGGAAACTCCCATGGACGGAGGAGCCTGTTAGGCTACAGCCCATGGGGTCGCAAAGAGTCGGACATGACTGAGCGACTTCACTTCACTTCAGGTGACATTCTTTCTGGAATGAAGGATGCTCCCAAAGGAAAAGGGTGTTAGGGAGTGTTGTCTTGGAGGGGTGAGCATCAGGTGTATAGTATGATCTTAGCTAGAGAGCAGTTGTTTTCAGAGTACAATTAAGCCAGAAACAGAAGGAAAACAAAGATTTGTAGGTTGAATGGATGGAATGAATAAGGGTTGAATAAAGGCTAACATGGGGCTTCCCTGGTAGCTCAGCTGGTAAAGAATCTGCCTGCAATGTGGGAGACCTGGGTTTGATCCCTGGGTTGGGAAGGTCCCTTGGAGGAAGGCATGGCAACCCACTCCAGTAATCTTGTCTGGAGAATCCCCATGGACAGAGGAGTCTGGTGAGCTACAGTCCATGGGGTCACAGAGTCAGACACGATTGAGCGACTGTGCGTAGCACAAGGGCTAACATAATGGGAAGCCTCAGGTAGTTTCTGCCTTAGCAGTTGTCCTCAGCTTAAAGTACCATGCCAAAGTGATACATTTTGGGGAGGCTTATTCAGGACCTCTTCACTCTTATGAGTCATTTTGTTTGAATAGAGAGAGATGTGTCTGCCATCTGGAATGGACTTAATAGATAGTGAAATCCATTCGGCATCAGCAAACTCAAATCTAGTTGTGACCTGTTAATAGATTTCCACAACTTGAATGTATAAACTCACATCTTTGTTTCAGAACATCATTTTAGATGTTTTATATCTTAATTACAAAGCCAGTGTTTTTATTTATATAATTTATTGCATGAGATTCATTAATAACCTAGTTATGATAGCTTTTGTTTATATATGGGCTTCCCAGGTGGCACTAGTGGTGAAGAATCAGCCTGCCAGTGCAGGAGACACAAGAGATGCTAGTTTGATCCCTGGGTTGGGAAGATCCCCTCGAGTAGGAAGTGGCAACCTACTCATACTCTAATATATTGAAAAATGATTTCATGATGATATTTGGAAGAAACTGTGGTTTTGTATAACAGTGGAATAACAGCAATATGATTCTTGAGAAAAATATTGATGAGATTAATTACAGAATTGTTTCTGTGAGAGCTGGTTATGTCTTTTTTGGAGAAGAAAATGGCAACCCACTCCAGTATTCTTGCCTGGTTATGTCTTTACAAGGGTTATGTGCCTGGAAATCAAACTATTATAATTTTTCAAATATGTTTGAGAACACTACAGTAAACACTGTACACACACCATTACTTTTGCTTGTGGGATAAATGCATTTCTCTTACAACAATCAAATGCTACCTGGTTATTTTGTTTTTTTAATTTATGTTTTATAGTTACAGATCTGTTTTTAGACTTTTTTACTGTTTCATGACATGCTTTGCTATTTTAAATCCATATGCACTAAGAACCGCTATTTTTAATTTTCTGCATCAAGTGTCATCCTAAGATCTACTAAATGGCTTAAGATCCTAAAATCATTTGAAAAAAATGTTTGAGAAGAGCTGGAGACGGAGGAGGAGGCGGAGGCGGAGGCGGCGGCGGAGGCGGCGGCGGAGGCGGGGCGACTCCGGTGACCGGGAGCGCCGCAGACTGGCAGCTGCGGCGACTCCCCCCTTTTGTGTCTGGTCTGCTCGGAGCCTCTGGAAGTGCTTCCCGGAGGGGCGCGGGCTATCTCGCCGCCTCGCTGCCCACCCCCCTCCCTAGCCACCTACATCCGCCCTCCCGCCGCCCCCCGCCCTCGGCCCGCGACACCCGAGCTCCGCCCGGAGCCTAGAGCTGCGGGAAAACGAGGCGGCGGCGGCTTCCTCTGGAGAGGGGGTTGTGATTCGCTCACAGGAGCCCTTGAAGGGAGAAGACGAAGCTTTTACGGCGGAATTTACCTCAGGCAAGATGGAGCGGCAGCAATAAAAAAGAGAGCGAGCGAGGAGCGCACCCGGGAGGGCTAGGAAGGGCAGCCTGCCGCCCCCTCCCCTCCCCCGCCTCCCACCGCCCCTCAGCCCTCCGGCGGGACCTGCCCAGCGCTCGCAGGATTGTTCCGCGAAGGCGTGAAGGCGGTGGGTTTGTCCATGGAGGCAGGCACCTTTTTCGATCCAGTCGAGGAGGAGGATTTGCTGTGCTCAAGACCGGAGTGAGAGAAGCACCGAAGCGAAACTTAAAAGGATTCTTGCCCCTTCGGAGCACAGGCGATGCGCCTCGGGTCGCCCGGCGCCGCCGCCGGCCGTCCGGCTTCGCCCTTCCCGGCAGTCAGGAACTTGTTCTGATCCTCGGCGCCCCTCGAATCCCCGCTGCCCCCCCGTCGGCACCCTGGATATGTTTTCCCCCAGACCTGGATATTTCTTCGATGTCGTGAAACTACGGGGGAAATAACTGCGGGGCTTTTTTTTTTCCCCTCTCGTCTCCGTGCTTCTCCCCACGGACATGCCTTCACTTTGGGGCGCCGAGGCACCCAGTCCTGGGCAAATGAACACCCCCAGCCGCGAGGGAGAGAAATGAAGGGAATTTGTGCAGCGGAATGAAAACTCTGCTGCTCGGTCCTCTCCTCTGCCATTTGTCCTTTCAAGCTGCATTGTAATACGGGCCGGAGAAGTCCGACGAGAGCGAGGACTGTCCTCCCGGCCGCGTTTCTCCGCCCGTATTCACTTTCCGTCTTTCTTTTTCTCTGCTCTCCTTCTCGGCTGACCCAGGGATGACTTCGTCTCCGCGGCGGCCCCGGCGGGTGCCCTCGCTGCTGTGGACCTTCCTGCTGGTCAGCGCTGCGGCCGGCGAGTCGCCCCGGGTGGCGCGTCCGGGCCGCTTCCCTGCGGCTGACGGGGAGCGAGCCCGCAGAGGCCGAGGCCTGCGTTCGCCCTTCGCCGCGCGTCCCCTGATTGCCCCGGACCTGTCCCGGTCCTCCCGGAGAGCTGACCTTCCACGTTTTCGTGGAGTTTCAAATCCCCACACCGCGTATTCCCCACCCCCACTCCCCCCACCGGGGCGGGGGGGAAGAAAGACACTTAGGGTGTGGTATCTTGACATTTTTAGCTGTGAGGTAATGCAGGGATTAAAAATAATATTTTAATCACCAGCGAACCGTGCCTATTAGGAGATCTTTGGGAACAGACCTGTAGATTTTTTTTTTTTTTTTTTTTACTATAAAGGAGCAGATTTGGCTGTAAGTAAAAAGGACATCCACTGTAGAACACACACCTGAATCTTATTTTTAGATGTAGATCACTCTTTGAGAATCCCTGGTGCTTTGATTATCCCAAAAAATGTTGAGGAAGGCAGAATTGAGAGTCTTAGTACATTGTATACTACTGTTAATCGTTTTTATCATTATTTTGTTTTGAAGTATATTAGTAATTTTGATCTTTTACGTCTGGAAAGTCATATTTTGTATACTTTTGGAATTACTTTTGGGCTTAGAAGTGTTTTCGGTAAGTTTTCCTTTAGTCATCTGGCTTTCTATTGGCTTTCCTGTCATTGAGGCAACTTTGACCTGACGTCAAGACTTCTAGGAGATTTGAGTCCTGAAAGTTCTTTTGACGTTTTACTGAAGCTTAAAGGGAAATCCTTTCTTTAGGATATTTTGTTCTTAGTTCTCAGACACCTTTAGGAGAAAAAACCTCGTTTCGTTTGCAGTTACTTTTCAAGTCTTTTGGTGGTTTGCTTTTAGAAATTTTAGGGAGTGAATTATGCATATAATTCTTAAGTTGGGTTTAGGATGGCCAGATAGATTATACATTTAAAAGTGAATAGAGGACAACATAACACCTTTCCAGTTATTTTTTCTTAATAAGTATAATTTTCGCATTCAATAAATTTCTCAATGCTGTGTTAGATATGGAGATTTCATATTTCCATTTGGAAAACACTGAAAAAAATTTTGAACTTTTGTGCTTTTAATATTGTTGATTGATGTCTACTATGTTTATGATAGTTGTGTTAAAATAATATGAACTTCTGAATTTATTTTAACACTGATATTTTAATATTACTAATTATCACAGTTTCTTTTGGGGAAAAGTGAATGATTTTTCTCTAGATTACTTTATATTGTGTTACCTCTTTAAATTCTCTAGTATTAAGCCATGTGGTTGGTCCCTGTAAAATATGAAGACAGTGAAAGGCCTTAAGTTTAAGCAGTCATTCTAAGAGCAGAAATCTCAGAGCATACACTTTTCAGTGTTGGTTTATTCTTGACTTTTCTACAACACAGATTCTAACTTATAGTTGACAGAATTATCAATTTGTGATTAGAACTGATGAAAGTAAGAGAAAGATCAATTGACTTAAAAAAAAAACACATGATTTCTGTCTGGTAAATGAAATATTAGAATAGTGGTCCTTAAAGGGATAGATTAAAGTAATCACTGTTTAAAAGTGATTTTAGTCATCTTTTTTCTTCAGTATTACTAACTACCAGATGCTAACATTTGTGAAGTTGGATTTCAGATCTGTGACAATAACAACAACAGTATTTACTGAGTGCTAGCTATGTGCCAGGAACTGTTCTAGTAGCCTTAGATGTATTTTCTTATTTGATCCTCATGACAGTTCTTTACTCCAGGTTCAGTTATGGTCCTTTTATAGAGAGTGAAGTACTCTGTGCATCCCCATGGACGTTAGCCCACCAGGCTCCTCTGTCCGTGGAATTCTCCAGGAAGGAAGACTGGAGTGGGTTGCCATGTCCTTCTCCAGGGGATCTACCCCACCCAGGGATTGAACCAGGTCTCCTGCATTGCGGGCAGATTCTTTACCATCTGAGCCATTTGGGAAGCCCGGAGTGAAGTACAGAGAATTTTAATAACTCACCACACGGTAAATTGTGGAGCTAAAATTACAACCTGCACCCTTACCTACCATGTTAATGAAGGCAACAACTTCTCAGTCTAATTGGGAACATGAGATAGAGTTAGTGTCTTCAGATTAACCTTTGAAAAGAAGCCGGGACTCTTGACAGGATCTTAGTACCGCACTTCTTATGCAAATGTCATGGTTCTAAATGTGTAAAACTTTGCCTAATATTGGAGTGGTTAGTGCAGTTTCATTAAGTGTAAGGTAGCTACAGAGGGCCTGTGTGAATTTGGGATGTACAGATGCAATGATGTAACTAGACAGGTGCACATGGTGCAGCTGAACAGGAAAATAATACTGGAAGATTGACATCACATCCCTCTATGGGGTCATGGATAAATCCTATTTTTTTGGGGTCCCTCTTTCCCACTTATTCTATCTAGTTCTTGGATCCTTAATTCTAAGAAGAGTTGGTATGCAGAAATTAGAATTTATAGAAAATACATGCTTGTTTGGTTTGTAAATGAAGTCTTAATTTTAATAAAAGGATGCGATATAATGTAATAAAAAAAAAAAGAAAAGAAAAAAATGTTTGAGTAAACAAACATTTATTTCCCTTGGACTGAATGTTCATGTTTTCAGTAGATTCTCAAAGAGATTCTGTAACTTTTTCTACACCTATCACATAATAAGAAACCTCAGTCTAATTAAGTATCCAAATAGATACCACGCAGACTGTTAGAAGCTTTCATGTTATTTTATTGTTTCATCCTTATAACAGTCATGTGACATGGCTGTTATTAATGTTTTCATTTGTGTAGCTTGTGAATGGTCTCTCTGAATTCACAGTCTCTTTCTTCAATACTTGACGCATCAGATATCATCCTTATCTGGATTATCAATTATGGACCTGTTAGACACTTTTATGTCCCCCACAGTGATAAACACGCAGCTACTAAGCCAAAATGACAGTACTGCTGCTGCTGCTAAGTTTGCAGCTGCAACAATGTCGAGGTTGGAATATTAATGATCTAGGGTCCCACACTCAAATCTCCACGATTCCAGCTCATACTATAAATGAGCAGATGAAGCCAAGTTTAAAAACTGAAGGACATTGCAGGGACTAAGGTGAATTGTTGAGTGGGCAGCTCTATTCACTTCTAGCCAACTAGAAGGAATACAGGAATACAGCCTGAAGGAATACAGAGACACTGTTTCTAGACCTTCAGACCTTAATTTCTCTTTAAAAGTACCACATGGGTCAGATAGAACCATCCTATCAACAGGGTCTTGCCCTTGTACTTTTGTGTCTTGGTTTTGTGTGGCTGATTCCATCTTATCTTATAGGGATGACTGTCATCCTATTTTTTAAGGCATATAATTAAAAGTTTTATTAATTACTAAAGAAGTCAGAGTTGTGGCCTGGTATTCATCAGGCAGGCTGGTCTAACAGAATTTTTCTTGATTTACAAGGTGATTCTGGCTGGTTAATTACAATCATTGAAGGCTTTAAGAAAGAGAGGGGATTTGATTTGTATGTTTGGAAAATCATCTTTGTGGTTTGAAGATAGTACAGATGTGGTGTGTTAGGGTCCCCTTCAGTAGAGGCTGGAGAGGCACAGTGTACTGATGCTAAAGGGAAGGGAATAAAGTAGACTCACTTGACAGGTTCTGAGACAGGGCCATTAGGATTTGCTAAAGAACTGGATGGGGCAGTGAGTGAGAGGTGAGAATTTATGGGGTATATATTCTCTCATCAGATTATCTATGTTCCAATCCTACCAACTTAGAAACAGATAAAGATATTTAACATTTCCATGCTTCCTCATTGGATTGTTAGAATGATTAAATAAACTATTAAAAAAAAATGCATGCGCATGAGCCTAGCAAAGTGTGTTTCCAAATCAATGTTCCCTATGAGCAGGGGCTTGTGGGACTCCAAGCTTCCTGTCTTCAGTCGGTGATGCAGTGGTTGGCTGTGATTTAGCCAACCAGTGGTTTAGCCAGGGGTCAGTGTTTGCAAGGCTTTTGCTTTTCCCTCAAGGCAACAAGATGTCTGCTGTGGTTTCTTCCTTTACCTCAGTATTCCAGATAGAAGAAAATATGTAAAAAGAGACTTTTGCACCTCTTGTCAGGAGAGAAAATGCTTTTGCAAGGGTGTCTAGGAGATATCTGCTTACTTATTTTACTAGAGCTTTATCAGATGATCAGTCTTAACTAGAGATGTGGCTGAGATGTTAAAAATTTATTTAGATACCTTTGCAGTCCGTCAAACTGAAGATTCTGATAATGAGGAGAACAGATTTGGAGCTTGGATAGAGGATTTGCCACAGACAGAAAGAACATGAAACCCCTTTATGCAGTGTTTTAAAAGGGATTTTGCCACTGGGAGACAAGAGTGACTAGTTCATCTATGAAGTAATTTTTCAGCGATTGGGTTCTATCATTTAATCTGGCTCATCTTCAAGAGCAGCATCATGTAGTTAATTCAACATTGTCATTGGGCAATAACATTAGCAAACAAATCAGCAAAATAATAAATACAGAGTAATTGCATTAGTCCTCTGCTGGTTAAATGTTGTAAGATGTCTTAGTATACATGTAAGCATTTATTAATGCAAGGCTTTATTCCAACTCCTCCCCTCTTTACCACCACCTCTTCTACCCCCAGTAACATAAATACCTATGGTTAGTCATTTATGTAATTTTTTAAATTCATTTACTTACAAATTATTCAGAGACATTAATGCATTATGTTTCATTTCCTAAGCAAATTGTAAGTGTAATGACTTCACATTTTCCTTCAGTCTAATAGCCATGTGTTAGAATGTTTTTTTGTTAAGATGTCAGCTTATTTTATAATACATACTATTATCACTTATACTATACCATATAATTTATGTATTAAAGTAATTATTATAAATTAAATTTGTATTAACTTGGTAGATTGCTGTGCACAAGAGCTAGGGACTAAGAGTCTTAATTTTTATTGAAGTTTTTAATAATTAATATTTATCATTCAGCAAAAGTTACAAACACTGCACAATATTCAATATAATCCTTGCCTCATTCAGCAAACTTCTGAGAGAAAATTAAACAACAAAAAAAAAATAGAAACTTTTCTACATAAATCCTTTTAGAAATGGAGAGAGAATAGTTGAAATCCAGCTGAGAACTTTCAGTAAGAGAATAATTTCCCCAAATCATTTGACAACATGTAGACTGAATTGATATTAATG